AAACCTCAGGGATAATTTTGTTACTCATCCATTTTATTTGCAAAAGTCCACATTAGTGCATTACCAAACATAGGGCTCCATGTCTGATTAATAACATCCAAACAAACGGAGCCCGACCTGTTTTTCGTTCCACACACAAAAATGGAAAAAAATGTTAAGTAACATCAGTGCAACTTTAATAAAGAAATACGAACAATAATCGAAGAAAAAAATTGCAGAACTCAACTCACATTTCATCAACATTTGGGTGATAAATCTTGTTAATAAATCCTATTGATGGGGATTTGTATGGATAAGCATCAGGAAGCTCTACCCTGATTTTCCAAATCCCACCATGGTAAGGACCTATTCATATTTCATAGAGAACAGGTAATAAACATAAACATCACAAGAAAAGAAAAATAGTAAATTTAAAATTCGCAAAATGAAACAAGAAAAAAGATGAAAATTTTAAAGCAGAGACACATCATTTTTTTCAAGTTTAGAATATTTTAACTCATGTGTCACCTCTTTCTTCTCTCAAAACAATATTAGAAAAAGCGCAAATAAACTAACCATATGGGAACACACAAAATTTCTAGATTTATCTATGAGTCCATAATAGAATTCAATAGTTCCAACTCCATTACATATACACATCACAACAACAAAAATAGAAGAACATCAAGATTTTCTCCAAAAAAAGGCACACATATTGTTTCAATAAGGGAGAAAGTGNAAGAAAAAGATGAATGCTTTAAGACAATTATACAATTTCATCAAGTCCATCTCACGCCTCTTGCTTGGGGAAGACATAGTTATCTTTTTTCTTTTTCTTTTTTTTTTTCTCTTTTTAAATATCTTTTTTCTCCCTTGATTTGCAAAGGAGCGCCGATAAGGAATGAACAATTTTTTCACTCTATTGGGGTAAGAGAAGAGTTCAGAGCATAGAAATGAAGATAAACCAGGAAAAGGGGGATGGAGATTTTGTGAAAGATTAGCACATCACATATATGTCATCATATACACTTTTTTATTAATTTCTGCTATTTTAAATTTAGTGTAGTTTCCAATTTCAAGATTCAATAACCCGAGCAACCTAAATAATTATTATTATTATTATTATTATTATTATAATTAGTGAGCAACCCGTGCGATGCACGGTGAGGCTTGTTCCTCAAAACTTATTTAAAATTTTATTTTTAAATATAATTACTAAAATTTAAACATTTCATTATGGCAAAAAGTAGATACAAAGTATGAAAAATCATATATTGTTGAACAATTCTCTATACATAATATTTTTTGTTTGATTTTGTGGCAAACCTTCTTGTCAACAAATTGAAATTTTCAAACATATGTGAAAAAAATTAAATTATAATATATTATTTGTAGTGTGATAAATCGTAATATATTATTTTTAGTGTGATAAAATGTGTTTGGATAACTATGACCATTTGAAAAAATATTTAATAGTAATCATAAAACTTTAAATTTAAAAAGATAAATATGACCATTTTGAAGAAATATTTATTTGTAATCTTAAAATTTTAAATTTTGAAAAATGACTGTATATATGCGCCAAGTTTTTAGGAACCAATCGATCATATAATATAAAATTCTTATATGATTTCCAGAGTCTTACGAACGTGACATGAACTTCAAATTTAAACAAATCAAAAGACAAATTATTAGGTAGTTATGAAAAAAAGTATCAAACAAACTATTTTTTAATTTCAAATTTAACAAATCAGAAGACAATTATTAGGTAGTTATGAAAATAGTCTCCAACAAACTTCAATTAAACGACACACAACCATCAGATCTGGAGTTGGTTGCAGTCGACGATCACCACATGATTCGAGGTCTGGTGGCTCCCCAACCCGACATTCTCCACCGCCTTCAATATGTCGTACTCCTCCACCACCTGCCCGAACACCACGTGCTTGTAGTCAAGCCACTTCGTCCTTGTCGTGCAGATGAAAAAGTGCGTGTCATTTGTCCCCGGACCAGTCTTCGCCATCGACAGGTCCCGGTGTGCTTTCTCATGATGTTCTCGTCGGTAAACTTGGCGTCGTAGATCGACTTGCCACCAGTATCGTTACCCACAGTGAAGTCACTGCTCTGACAAATGAAATTGGGGATTACACGGTGGAAGGATGACCCTTTGTGGTGGAGGGGCTTGCCAGATTTGCCGAGTCCTTCTCGTCGGTGCATAGGGCGCAAAAGTTCTCGTCGGTCTTCGTGACGACGTCGGCGAAGAGCTCCATCACGATTCAACGATGGGGCTAGCTGCTGACCGTTATGTCGAAGTAAACCCTAGGATTCGATAGGTTGATTTTGAATATTTTATTTAGGAGTTTTTTGTGAATTTTTTTTATTTGTGACTAACTGATTTTTTTTTTTGTCTAAAACTTAGGGTTTTGTGATTGGGTGGGGAGGGATTTATATAAGGGATCGATTGAGTGCAAACTTTAAAAAAATGGATTCTTTCTAAACTTTAAAAGATATTGTAATTAGATAAATATGGAGAAAAAAATATGAGAAATGCTATAGGTACATAATACTTTACATAGATGTGTACATAACACTCACATTAAGTGGGTCCTACTAAAAATAAAAAATCATTTGGACCACACTCCATGTGAGTGTTATGTACACCTCTATGTACATTTATTATCTACTTGTAGCATTTTTCAAAAAATATTTACCAGGAATTCACATAATATGAGATTCTTTTCAAACTTTAAAAAAAAAATTGTAGTTTAATAGATATGGACAAAAAAATATCCATAGATAAAGATTTGCCCGAACTTTCAAACTTTTTTTTTCATATATATAAATCAATTTGTGCTTTGGGTGGGAATTTGCGATTTTTTGAAAAAAAATTCATTATCAATAAAAACGAAAATTTTAGGCGGGATTTTACATATTGTTCATAGCTAAATGTTTTGCCTTTTTATATATTCATAGATATATATTTAAGTCGTGAATTTTTTATATTATATGATTATATGGCTAAAAATATGTTGTTTCAATCAAATAAGTCATATATTATTTCAGTTAAAGAATATAAACCACCAAAAAATAGAAAAGTAGTTAAGATATATGTCATAAAATAATGTAATTTATTATATTTAAGAAAAACAAATCAATATATTTACACACAAAATTCATAAATATAAATAATTTGTGGAGGATTGAAGTTTATCAATATTTAGTATAACATCCATTATTCTCGGAACAACTTTTTGTTTGATTTGCAACATTAATTTGAATGAAAAAAATCCATAATTGTTGGAATATCTTGATTCAAAATCTCAATTTTTTGGCATAAGAATCTTCAAAATTGTTACCAATAAAAATGGGATTCGTATTGATGAAATGAATTAAAGTTTGACATAAGAATCTCCAAATTTGTTACCTTAACAATCTCCAATTTTTATGGGATATCACATTAAATTTGATTCCTAAAGAAAATAAGTTGTTTCAATCAAATAATTCATATATTATTTCAATTAAAGAATATAAACCGCCAAAAAATAGAGAAGATGTTAGGATTTAGGTCATAAAATAATGTAATTTATTATTATCTAAGAAAACCAAATCAATATATTTACACACAAAGTTCATAAATATAAATAAATTATGGAAGATTGGAGTTTATCAATATTTAGTACAACATCCATTATTCTCGGAACAATTTGTTGTTTGATTTGCAACATTAACTTGAATGGAAAAAAAAAAATCCGTAATTGTTAGGATATCTCAATTCAAAATTTCAATTTTTGCCATAAAAATATCCAAATTTGTTACCTATAAAAATGAGATTTGTATTTCTGAAATGAAATGAAATTTTGGCATAAGAATCTCCAAATTTGTAACCTTAAGAATCTCAAATTTTTTTGGGATATCTCACTTAAATTAATTTCCTAAAGAAAATAAGTTGTTTTAATCAAATAAGTCAAATATTATTTCAATTAAAGAATATAAACCACCAAAAAATAGAAAAGAAGTTAGGATTTAGGTCCTAAAATAATCTAATTTAGTATTATTTCAGAAAAACAAATCAATATATTTACACACAAAATTCATAAATATAAATAATTTATGAAGGATTGGAGTTTATCAATATTTAATACAACATCCATTATTCTCGGAACAATTTTTTGTTTGATTTGAAACATTAATTTGAATGGAAAAAAATTCGTAATTGTTGGGATATCTCAATTCAAAATTTCAATTTTTTGGCATAAGAATCTCTAAATTTGTTACCAATAAAAATGGGATTCGTATTTATGAAATGAATTAAATTTTGGCATAATAATCTCCAAATTTGTTACCTTAAGAATCTCCACATTTTTTGGAATATCTCACTTAAATTTGATTTCTAAAGATTCACATGTGATTTTTTCAAAATTTCCACTAATAGTAAGTCAACACTTTATTTTTAAATTCAAAGTTACTATTTTTGTATTTTTCCAACAACCTCTTTATATTATTATAGATTATAGATTATAGATGTAGTTTCCAATTTCAAGATTCCTAATAACCCGAGCAACCTAAATTATTATTATTATTATTATTATTATTATTATTATTGTTGTTGTTGTTGTTGTTGTTGTTGTTGTTGTTGTCGTCGTCGTCGTCGTATGCCTACCAAATCTTACTAAATACTATTATTATACTGATTTGTATTGTATATTCATATTATTTTAATAAATATATATATTTTCATACTCGAGTCAGTACTTAGTTTTTAATAAGGCACGAATGTTGTAAAAAATGTATTCATTTATTTAGTTAAGTAGAAAAATAATGAAATATTATATACACAAAATGGGGAAAAGAAAAAACTAGGGAAAAAAAGTAATATACATATGAAATGATAGTGATAAAATAAGTAATATAAAATGAAAGATTATGCATCATGCAGGAAAACAAGGAAGATACAAAATCTAATTTAATTCTCAGAACTTAACAAATATCACAGTGAATTGGAACTGGTATTTGCGAGTATTATAGCATCTCCAATGCTATAAGTGTGAAAGATTATTATTTTTAACACATGTCAATTAGTGATTGTAATGTTAATCCATATTGGAATAATGTTAAAAGACTAAAAATTTCAATGAAACTAGTATCTCCAATGCATCAATTTGATATAAAATTATTTGTATAGGTGGACCAATTAAATAATTCATTGATATAAAAAAAATAAAAAATTAAAACAAATATAAAGTAAATTGATGAGTCATCATGTTTAACATGGTGTTAGATATTAGAAAGTGTGCACAACATTGTCAACATTAAATGACATCCATCTCATCATGAAAGAGTTCATGACAAGATGCATTGGAGAAAAAAAATTGAGACACACTTTCAAAAGTTGATGATATGGATGATTTTTATAATGTCAAAAGTTGCATTGGAGATGCTCTTACACTTTTAAATAAAATCTTGTAAGGGTCCAGATACGATGAATGCGAAAAATCTGCACGTTACCGCAAAGGCGGGATCTCGATTTGACATGTTGGGTAGGGAAGATTTGAAGGAAGACAATTTGAGATTTAATTTTGGGGCTCAAACTACGGAAACGGCTGAAAAGAATACCCCCTTACTAAAAAAAAGGTGCGGCGGAAAAAGGAGGGAGTGAGTGGCGTATGGTCACACGTAACGGTAAGAAAGCACAAAAGAATACCACAGGACTCAAAATACGCGAGGTGGAGAATGGGACAGCTAAGAGGACTCAGGCCCATAATGCAAACACCGGGCTGCCAAATTCTAAGGTCGTCTCTGAAAACTCTAATGCGCGCACAACCCCAAATAATACGCATCTGTCTTCCGGGCCGATTCAAGTGGGAGCTGGGCTGGACCCGAATAAACACCGTGCCATGATCGTTGACGAAGACCAGACACACACACCCGAGCAAAGTCTCCAGCCGAACCCGACCCTTGACTCCGTCGGTGACGAACTAATGGAGGAAGGGGAACACTATGTCCGAACGCAGGAACCATGGCCAGAGGACCCAGATAAGAGTAGTCGACCAGAAGGAAGATCGACTTCTGCGTGCCCCGTTAATGGTCCAGAAGAGGACATGGATATAAATATCCAGCGCCTAATCTAATGGTGATCGTCTCCTTCCTTCTCTGATAGTGTCCTTATGAATATAATCACATGGAACGTTCAAGGTGCAGGCTCGTCCGGATTTCGGGGTGCCTTTTCCACCTTAATTTGCCAACATAAACCGGATATTGTAGCAATCTTCGAGCCACGTATTAGTGGAATGAATGCCGACAGATTTGTCAAGTATAGCAAATTTGCTAACTCGTTTCGAGTTGAAGCTCGTAGTTTTGCGGGTGGAATTTGGATCCTATGGAACGACGAGGTTAAGTTAGACGTTTTATGTTTTAACAGACATGTAGTTCATGTTATGGCATCCAAGCATTCCGAGGGATGTCTTATCTCCTTTATATATGCGAACCCTAGTGTCGCACTCCGCCGGAGGCTGTGGACGACTTTGGAGAGGCTAGCAAGGAACACCACGGAGCCATGGCTCATTGGGGGAGACTTTAACTGTCTCCTTCACCGTTCGGAGAAAGTGGGGGGCTCTTCAAAATTCTGCAATACTAGTCAAGAGTTCTCGGATTGGATATTTAATAACAGCCTTCAGGCGGTGCCCACTGACGGGCATAGTTTCACGTGGGTTAGGAGCGGCCGTGACGGAAGTGTCGCTAACTTAACCGCTTTATCGCTTTATCGCTAATGAGGCATGGTTGGAGAGATTTGGGCTAGGGAGGGTCCGGCTATTACCTCGGATCCAATCCGACCACTCGCCACTGCTTATTGGATGTGAGAGACAAAGTGTCGGGCCGGGGTTTTTGGCCGCATGGCTTCTCCACCCGGGGTTCCGAGACATGCTGAGCGACTCGTGGTTACCATCTCTCTCGTTCGATGCGGCGGTCACTAAGTTTACAGAAGCAGCAAAGGTGTGGAATTTTCGGGTGTTTGGCAATATATTTCATAAAAAGAAAAAGCTCTTGGCCCGGCTAGCGGGCATTCAGAGGTGCCGAAAGTCTTATATTAATGAGAGGCTGATGGGGTTAGAACGCCAGCTACGGGAGGAGTTGGACGACATAATAGTTCAAGAGGAGTTGTTGCTAGTGCAAAAATCTACCCGGGAATGGACGTTGTTGGGAGATCGAAATACTAGCTA